AAAGAATTAATCCAGAAAATTATTTAAAACAGAAAAATGCACAAACGGCTTTCCCAGTCGTATAACTACTGTTCTCATTAATGAAAGAGTGGAAAAAAAAAGTTAAAAAAACGGTATGAGACAGATCAACCTTCTTTCTTCTTTTCGACAGACGATCTTTAACTGATAAGGCTACGTTCACACTACAAAAGTTAAATGAGCAAAAACGAAGCTGCTTGGTCAAAAAGTTAACTCTGAGTTAAATGATGTTTCGGACATCATTTAACTTTAACTCTCCAATCATAAACTGAGCTCAGTAACCAATAATATGGATCCATTAGACATGGGAGTTAGCGCCGGTTTTATAGGCAAACAAACATCTGATTTTCGACTCAATTTTTCTGTCTGAGCTTAGAAAGTCAAATGTAGAACGTAAATTCAAACTGGCCAGCTGTTAGCAAGCTGCAACCTAAGCAGCATAATTTTAGGGGAAATATCAAAATCTTATTGGTGTGTTAAAGATTTAGGTGTGAACGCTCTCGAAGTTAACTCCGAGTTAACTCGGAGTTAACTCTGAAAAATTTGTAGTGTGAACGTGGCCTAAGATCGCGCATTTCATGCAAGTAAGGAGTTATAGCATGACTTTGCCAATCAAACTTGTCAATGAGCCTCTACACACTGCCTTTTATGCGCTAAAACTAGTTTCCGGAGCTTTAAAACCCCTTTTAACTTGACATCCAGCTTAAAACTCTTTAAAACTGTTCAAATCTCACTTTTTAAAATTTGAATAACGTTCGGTAACTACCGCTGCCATTATCACCTTTCAGTTTTTGGTGTTACCTCGAACAATAAGCTGTCACCAAAATGTGGTGATAGGATTTGATGATGACTTATCTTCACCCGCAAAATACGGAAAGATGTCTGTCAGATATTCCATGGATAAGCTAATCACAAGAGTGGAAAATAAAAAATTCTTTTTTAATCATCAGAGAGAAAATATTGAAAGAAATGACCGGAAATATCTACCGATACAGAGAGAAAAACAGCTAAGCAAACCTTTTCTGTAGTTCAACGATACATGTCGCCAGAAATCAGTGGACATTTGCGTGCGCTATTTTACAACTAATGTTTCTTTTTCATCATGAAAATCGACTATTTTCTGTTTGAGACGTTTCGTCTTTATTCAAAAGACATCCTCAGTCAAATGTGACAGACGAAGGTTGGTTAAAGACGAAACGTCTCAAACAGAAAATAGTCGATTTTCATGATGAAAAAGGTTGTGTATCTCTTATTATCTATGTTGAAATTCTTCACCTTACAAAATGACTTAATGTTTCTTACTACAGCTACAAGAGTATTTTAGGAAATCTTTTCGAATTCGAAATATCCAATGGATTTTTTACAAAACCTTTGATAGTACTAAACTATGAACAGGTTTCGTGTTTTCGCTCGGAACCTTATGCGGCATAGTAAAGTACCACGAAACCTTGTGAGTTTCGTATGGTACATTTCTGTTTTCAATGTAGTAGAGGGTGGTTGCTCTGGAACCAGAATTTCAGTAGTGTAGGCGTCAAAATTTAAAAATAATTTAAAATATTTTCTAGTGGTCTGTTTGCGTTGTCTTTCGGATGTCAAGTTCCTGAAGCGCTTTGATGAAAATCTTAAAATATTGTAAGCTAACTTTCTACGGCCTGGTCTCGTTATGTTCGCTTTTGTTTTTCTCACTCTCTCTTTGTTTTGTTCTAAAAAATTCAAGCGTTTTTATTTATACCATTCAACGTTTTTTGTAGTTTAGAAATCTTTTTCTGTTTTTTTCTTTTTCTTTCTTTCTGTTTTTCTTCAATAATAAGGATTATACTAAGAACGCGTGCCTATCGATACATTTTAGATATACGTTGCACATGGCTTCATCGTTGTTCTCTTTTAACGGGTATATGCAGAAGAGATATACATAGATTATTTCTACTGTTTATAACATAGTATGAAGAGGTTTCTTACATGTAATTTATCACTACTTGTTTGTTTTTTTCAAAGAAAGTAATCTAATCATCAGCAAATAACTAATACAGGATAAGTACACAGTACTTTTAGTGAGATGAGAATGTAAGCCGGCAGAGGTAACTTTCTTTACTCACGAAGTTAAACTATCTCTCTCAGGCTTTTAAGAAGCAAAACAGGATCATCATTTTTGGAGAATATACCAAATATAGTGTATAGGTTCTTCATTAGACATCCTGATTGTGCAAAGGTGGCAAAGCACAAATGCATGAAAGTGAGAAATGACTGATGCCATTACATTAATATGAGTATCGTCGGTATAAGATCGCTTTGTCGTCGATGACTTTCAGGATGTAGCAACGACCAGTTCGATCCTGATTGACGCACAGAGGACTAGGCCGTAAGCCATTCCAAAAAAGGAGGAAGAACGATTTCTTACTACTTGAGGTTGTGTTTGACACATTCTTTACTTCAGGCATACTATACCTGGATGGCATAGTAATACTTTGGAAGGCAGTACTATACAAAATTGTAGAAACGATTTGTTTTTGATTTTTCTCCTCAACCATAAAAGCAAGAACAAATGTGAAAAAAGATTTAGAATAGCCGCACGAGTTTTAAAGGAAAGATCTATACAAGGGAAACTCTTCAGGTGCGTAACGCCGATTTCAATGATCTACTGCTAATAGGTACGGTATATCGTCCTAGTAAAAAGTTCAAAGGGATTTTAGAATAAAAGTGACCTGTGTACAAAACACGTTTTGAAAAAAACAAAAAAACGTATTTTGTACACAGATCACGTTTTTTAAGGCATTTCCAATGATGCTTATGTTTCCACCAAAACTCATCGGAAAATTCTGGGAGACGTCTTATTTTGAAGAAAAGGCTTTCTTCTATCAGACTATAAGAAAAAATTTTGAATACATACGAAACGAAAGAAAAATTTATGAAACTAAAATATTGAGTGGTTGAAGGCTCTGAAGGAAAAATTCAAAAAAATTCAATAACTTCCACAGGAAGCAATAAGAACCCAAAGCCTTTTGGGCTTTTGACTAGGACACTATACAGTATCTATTATTAAAAGATCACCGAAATCGGTGTTGTGTATCTGGAGAGATCCCTCGTTAGGGTAACGCTTTCCTGTTTTCCCGTCAATATTGCTGATTTTGGTGGGATGCAACTGTTTGTAAGTTGAATGCTGTTTCATGCACCTATCTCGTAGAAAGCCCGACAATGTCTCATTTTGTTTAGAAATGTTTGCTCCATACGGTGAAGTTATGTGAAAAGAATTTCTCTAGCACATTGAGGCACTTAGTTTTCTGAGATTTTAGTTTTCCAGAGATGCTGGTTGGAGAAATTTAGGTGGAACTTTTATATACATCACATCGGTTATTCTAAATCTTTTTTCACATTTGTTCTTGTTTTTATGGTTGAGGAGAAAAATCAAAAACAAATCGTTTATATAATTTTGTATAATACTGCCTTCCAAAGTATTTATCTATCCAAGTATACTATGCCATAACATTTTATCATAAGTTTATCTAGTGTTTTGGACCTTATTTTATTCTCTTTCAAATAGTATAGAACATTGCCTGAAGTAAAACATGTGTCAAACACGACTTCAAGTAATAATTCATTCTTCCTCCTTTTTTTCTTGTGAGGCACGTAAAAAAATTCGTTTTTTTTTCAAAATTGTTCTTCCAAAATGAAAATTCTAATCCGCTCACAGTACCGAGAATTTTATAACGCATATTTCTGTCATAACACATTTTTATTATAGTGCATTGTAAAAATGCACTATAATGAAAAAATCTTTTTTCTCTCAGAGTAGTCGTCCAATCATCGAAAACATTTCATGTTATACACAACTCGATCTGCTCTGTCGAACTATACAAAAATCACGCATAAACCTTTACTTTTAAATTTTTTCGAAATTTTATACCAACAGGTGATCAATTGAGGCATATAACTTATACATGCCATAATTCTGTCAAACGACTTCGTTTGCCGAAAACATTTCAAGATATATACAGTTTCGCTTCCGGTACAATCAGATCAAGAAAGGTATATATTATGTGGAAGGTAGCCCCTAAACTTACTTTTATCTTGAGATCAAACTTCAGTCACATGTCAAACCAAAGTTGAGGAATAGACGGGAGAAAAATTGAAGAAATCTGACACTAAAATTTTTTAAAATATTTTTTACGTACAAACTCAAAAATCGAGAAGGACTCAGAGTAAAGACATACTATGGAAATTGCGGTGAGCTGCCTTGGATGCAGAATGTAAATAAAACAGATATTGACCACCGTGAGAACATAATAATCGCATCTCGAATGGTGCACATAAGAGTCATGACATAACAATCGCCGATATGGCGATTGTTATGTTGGCGACGCCAATTCTGTAATAGTTTTTATATGATCGCGACAATAGGGTTTGAATTGCGCTCACGTACGACAATCGAGACTATCGTAAGATAATTCTTAGAGCGCGACAAAAACTGAGATCATACAAATCACGTCTTATTGTGACTCCTACAGGGATCGTGGTAAGACTTTTTATCCCGACTGGGGCAAGAAAGTGACTGAGGTAGACTTTAATCGTCTGTTGTCATAGTAAGTTAGAAGAGTTAGGCTCTTCATTCCTACAAACGTCGTTAAAGAGCTCGCTGAATGATTAACTGAGTCATTACGTATGTCTAAATTCACTTGTAATCATTTTTGAAAATCTTGACCCAAAAAATATAAATTATCCACAATATTTTGTGTCAGAATAGCGCGCCATTTACCGGTACGCAATAAACAATAATAGTAAATGGAATATGGCACCTGTCGTTCGAGAATATGTTGAACATAAAATAAAAGTTTTTCTATAACATCTAATTTGATTTAAAGTCATATTTTGCTTATAAATGAACGTTTTAACGATGTATAAATGACTGCTTTACAGATTCACTACTGACTACATATTGCTGTTTCTTACAACCCGGTAGGAACTGATTAATTTTTATACTTTTTCAAATGTCAAATGCGAATGATGAACTAGCTGTACAACATTTCGTTGATTATTTACGAATAAAAACTGTACAGCCCCTACCTGATTATGAGAAAGCATTTGAATTTCTTCAATCGTATGCAATGGAACTTGATTTAAATTATCAAAAAATTCAAGTTGGCATTGATCGACATGTGGCTATATTAACATGGTTGTCTACAAATAATTCGCAACAACAACAAACATTACTTCTTAATTCACACATTGATGTTGTACCGGTATTTGAAGAACACTGGAAATATTCACCATTTGGTGGTGAAATTGTTGATGGACGAATTTATGGACGAGGTGCACAAGATATGAAATGTGTTGGAATTCAATATTTGGAAGCAATTCGACGTTTGAAATTAGCTAATTATAAGCCAAATCGAACTGTTCATTGTCTGTTTGTACCCGATGAAGAAATTGGTGGACTAACGGGAATGAACAAGTTTATTGAAATGGATGAGTTTAAACAACTGAATGTTGGATTTACTTTAGATGAAGGTAAATAGAAGTAACAATCTAAGAAGATATTCCCCAACAGAAACGTGTTTAGTACGAGAGTTATGTTTTTTGTCAGTTTACCAATCAGATAGTTTTCTGCGCTTGATCTGGTAGAATGTTTTGAATTTTTTCTAATACTGGAACAATACTAGCAATTCTTCGCTAATATGATTTCTGTGTTATGACTGCTCCAGAAAGGAAAAGAAAAAAGTAGAAAGTCAGGAACTTTCACTAGCGACGAAGCTGCCCATTCAGTAAAAAATAAAATTCCATCAGATGCAACAGTTTTTTTCGTTTTGAGAGGTAGCTAGAAGGAAAAATGACGTTATTTTATTGTCAGCTTCTGTCCAGCATTTATTCCAATGTTCTTTAACTTCCTGTGGATGTTTCTTTGCTGATGAACAATACTTACAACTAACGATACTCTTTCTCATCTTTAAAGAAGAATATCATGTTGAGAAACATAGGAAAGTGAGTGCTCTTTTTCGTAAAGCCCATCGAAACAACGCGCATTCTGCGCGTTTTTTGTCATAAATGCCACTTGTACCTCTGCACACACTGCTCGTCTTAATTTGCTTCATAAGTCAAAGACCGACTAGAGCTCACGGACACTGTCCGAATCTATTTTTTTGCTACGTCTACAGTCATCGTATACAAATTAGATTTTTGCATTGATCGAAGATGACAAATTATCTTTTAGATTTCTCGCAGAAATTTGTAACAGAGAAAACTATTACTACTTCAGAGTCATACTTCGAAGAGTAATGGCTCTAATTCCTGTCGCATTCTTTTTAATACCATGTCCTTAAGGTTTGTTATGTTATTTTTTCGTATTTTTCAAAAATTCACAATAAATGTTTTGTATTTTCATAAAAACGATTTGCAACATTTTTCTAAAACGGCAGTTTTGTAGAGAAAATATTTCTCTACAAGATGATATATAATA